TTATTGCGTGCTCTCAACTTAGTGTTCTAGATGCACTTCCACAGTTGTCAATTGAGAGCTTTCGATGCCTGTACCATTTTTGCATTAGTATAATTGTCTGGCAAGTACAATCATACTCTATGCCCAGGGAAGTCGAGAAATTTTCCAACCCGAAAAAATCCTAGACCAAACCGGGAATCTAACCCAGCAAGAGTCATAGGTCACCATATTTTCGATGTTATCCAGGTGCTCACAGGCCATGCAATTGGACTCATCCTGTGGCTTATCTCCATCATTAATCTGACTAATTTTCAGGGGATCTCGCGATGATAATTTCTAAAGAATTCGTTGTCACCGTTTCCTTAGTAGCTCCACAAACAAAGTAATTTTGGGAACAGCTTTAGCTAATAGTTTTATTTATTATTTAGTTACAATTTCCAATTCTAATTTCTTTCAATACTCACAAATTTTCAGTGATCTTCGTAAACTCGACGAGATTCTTCACTAGATTGTGATTTAGGTTAGGCAAATTTTAATTGTAGCTATTAGTTGTAAGTACGCGAGTAAGTACGTTTTATTATTATAGTTACTATTTATATAATAGTATATAAAGTATATATATAGTAAATTTCACGTGAGCAATATTAAACTTGATGGACTTGTGTTTTTTCTACTTCTTCTTCTTAGCTGCTTTTCTTTTTCGGGCCGTCATGACGGACGTCAAACGAGCTCGGTGGAAAACTTGTGGCCTCGTCAGGGGAGTACCTTACATCGCCGTAGCATAGAGATTAGTGACGTTTAACGCACGCACACTAGCGGGAGCATCGCCGTGTAAAGTTGTTTATTATTTTCCTTTGCCTAACCTAAAAAATGTATGAAAGTAGATCTGTCAAAATAAGTTTGACATCGATTTGTTATGTATTTTCCTCGGATATTCACTAACACGCTCTCACATATCCCACCAATACAACCAGACGTGAAAACCTCTGTTGGGGGGCTTCTCGCCGTCATAGTATGTTTTACATGCTGAATAAAGGCCGGCGCACAATGGATAACTTTCAGGTTTTTTGACAGTTTGCCCATTATCTGTCAAAAAACCCGGAAACTTATGCATTGTGCGCCAGCCTTAAGGCTCTAAGCAACGCTAGAAACAGAGGTGCATGATGTTACCCCGTGGGTTTAATATAGGGGTTGTTGTTGAGGGAGTGAAACAAGAAACCAAATTCCATGAATTTAATCCGTCGATGTTGTAAATTTTAAAATTCCTAAAAATGAAACAGTTTTTACTGGTAATGTCAAATGTACTTTATCAATTAAGTATAAGTTAATCTTACTTTTAGTGTTTCTAGTTTCTCTAACAACAACTGTAATATTCGAATATCCCGCAGCTAACGACCTGTGTTTGAATATAATATTCGTTTAGTATTTAATAGTTATAGTTTAGAATTAAGGAATTTTTCACCTATGAGCTAACGACAATACAATAACATTCGTCATTACGGGCTGTTCAAAGCCTGGTTCTCATTGAATAACCTCCTTTTCGTCTAGATGTAGTATACGATATTTTCACTCTTATATCATTATCTTGTAAATAACTCACCTAAATTTAGCTTAATCCGAAAAAATCAGTAGATGATAGCTCAAATTTCCGTTAATTTAGGAATAACCAATTTAGTATTAAGTACTTAATTGTCGTTTAGAAAAAAAAAACTGTAGATTAATTTATTTATTGTCTTGGAGACAAAAAAAAACTTTATCACGATGGCCGCTTTGTTGTTATTTTGCATCTCTTCGGGTGATGATTCATTCGTAGTGCTATTAATCCCTTGACCAGCGCTGAGTGTGGCGTATAGTAGCGGAGCGTTTAATGTGGGCACGGTCACGTTTGATTCTGACGGGGCGTAGTCAACAAGGGTGATTCTAAGTAACACTCTTCAAGTGCGCGGTATTAGGCACAATGATATGTCTAACCATTACATTTTTGTTGCAAAAATTGGGCAAATCAATATTCATGGCAAAGGTATACAGTACACAATAATTTTTTTTTTTTTTTTGTTAGTTACTTTATTTGTACAGGCTCAATCGAATAAACTGTACAGAGCCAAGTTATCATTTTCTTTATACATTATAAATGTCTTAAATCTAAAATTAAAGGATTGGGACCGATTACTCGCGGTCTTCTCGAGGCTAGTGGATAACAATTGTTTGGATCGGGAGAGGGAAAAGGAGATTTGGAATATGATTTATGATTCAAAAATGTCACTATTTCTAAAACATATACTTAATCCTATCGACGTTATATCAACTCTGTAATTATACAATTATTACAGAAACAAATCTACAAAAAAAAATACACACACACATACAAAACACAAACTAAACACAAGGTTAATCAAACTTACAATCTATGGTTAATATTCTTCAAGAAAACATATATGAGTTGCATAAACTCCAGATCGCGTCTAGCCAAAATATCCCGAACTGGAACATTAGGTTGTCTACCTCGAGCCCGAAGAGAATCGTACAACTCGGATCTGACTCCACGGTGCTCAGCACATGACCAAATAATGTGAACTGCGTCCTGGTAACCTTGTCCACATTCACAGAGATTACTGTCCCCCAGCTCAACACGGAACAAGTGAGCGTTTAACGAGTAGTGATTGGACATGAGGCGAGACATCATACGAATGAAGTCTCGACCCACATCCAACCCCTTGAACCAAGGACACTTCGACACCTTAGGGATGATTGAATATAACCATCGTCCCAAACTCCCTTCACTCCATTTATTTTGCCAGCTGGCGAGTGACTGTTGACGATAAATGAAGAAAAATTCGTCGTAGGCGATTTGTCGATCGTAAATATCGCCTTCCATAGCGCCCACCTTTGCAAGCGAGTTCGCCTTCTCATTGCCCGGAATAGAGCAATGAGATGGGACCCATGCAAAGGTGATGACAAAAGATCTTAAAGATAAAGCACTTAGAAGCTCTCGTATTTTCATGAGAAAATACGAGGAGTGCTTTACCGGCCTCATGGAGCGAATCGCCTCGACAGAACTGAGACTATCCGTAAAAATAAAATAATGATCTGGTGCAAGTGAGGCGATCGTTTCTAGCGTATAATGTATTGCAGCCAGTTCAGCAACATATACGGAACAAGGAGCATGAAGCATTCGAGAGGCGCTATGAAATTCGTTATAAATACCAAAACCTGCGGACGCCTCTATTAGTGATCCATCTGTGAAGAACGATCTTGCGGAATCAAACACACACAATAATATGACGCTTAAAGAAACATAAATGACCGCATATTAATTTTTTACTTACTAATTTAAACTTGAAGCGTTCTTAACCGCACGGTCAGTCTTCACGAAAACATATGAATCTTGTGATCATCAGTCCTGCGTCTTGACCACTCATCTATTTTATTGCGCGGGTAACGAAAAGATTAAAGGCATAAGAAGCGCTCGTAGTACACGCTAACTTGAAAGTACCCATTCAAGGATAAAAAAGACCCTTTCTGAAGAAAAGTTTCTTAATTCATTACATTAGTAAATCTTTTACCCATTAATGAGTATCTATTACCCATTAATGAGTAACTTTTACTCATTAATGGGTAACAAATACTCATTTTTGGGTAAAAAAATTACTCAATAATGAGTAACGCCACTTTTCTTCAAAATGTTTTTTTTTACTCATTCATGGGTACTTTCAAGTTAGCGTGTAGGTAAGGGAAGTGCTGTTTATGCAAGCGCATGAGTTTGTACATGGGAGCAAACATGTTCATTGTATTGTGCGTTTCACACCAAATTGGACTAATAAGCGCGTTTTCACTTATTGAAAAGTGTGATAAAACTGCAAGTTTACGTCTAATCGTCTTGGTGTCTTCGATGCACTTATTTCTTATGATGCAAGCAATAAGTGCTCCGAAGACATCAAAACTATTTGACGGAAACGTGCACTTTTATCACACTTTTTGCATTTTTGGGACTGTCCAGTTTCAGATGCAATCAGCAATACTTGAGTATAAACTTGTGTACAAATGGGCTTGTACATATTCGAACATAGCAAGCGAAGAACAAGTGAGTGCAAAACATTGGTGCACTTTACACACAATGTTGTACAGTGAAGACTGGAGACGGCTTGCATAAAGGGCAGACGAAATAATTCTCTTTCCTACTACGAGAGCTTCTTTATATGCCTTTATTTTTTTCGTGCAATAAATAGACGAGTGTCCGAGTGGTCAATACGCAGGATTGATGGTCACAAGATTCATGGTATGAGTCCTGGTCTGCTATGTTTTTTTATGTTATTTTATAATTTTGCACAAACCCGGGTGCAATGTACCCGTGCACAAACTTCTGCGAATACACGGATACACCCGAGTGTATTGTATGAAATGTACCTGCATACAACATTGCAACGTAAGTTCTAGCTGAACATTCGCTTTGGTTTGTGTACACAAGCTCAACATGGTACATGTTTTCGTGAAGCAAAATCAATATTTTGAACCACCTTAATGGCTATGAGTTTGTAAATCTATGTCTACGATATGGTCTAAATCTGATCCGGAAAGGCCAAACTCATTAATTAAACATTATAATGTTATGTACCCGCTAAGCATTTAAAGAAATTTTCAACAATCCATCATTAGTGATTTTTTTAACAAGTTCGTCCATTTTTATATTGTTCCCCGATTTTTAGATGTTTAAAATAGTGACATGTAAAATTTCAAAGAAAATCATCACGTGTTGATTTTTTTAAAATAAACATTGGATTGAATATTTTCCCTAATTGCGTCAAATATGGTTAACATTTCAAACCACTCTGGTATGTAGGTCAATTATTAAGAGTTTGCATATTCGGTTTGACCATATTTGACGCAATTAGGGAAAATATTATACTATTATTATACACCAAAATCTAACGTAAAATTTCTTCGCCTTCATTCAAACTAAAAATATTGCATGCTTAATTCCTCTCACAATTCATCTGATACATGTTGGTTTTTTGTATTTTCAGGGCAAAATTATTTATAATATGAATCGTTTACTGATTGCGACGTTTGCAGTGCAATTTGGACTGGAAAATTGAAGATTTGTGTGTTAAGAGATACGATACGATTGGTTGCCATACGCTACCAGATAGATGTAATATTTTAAACAAATATTTGAATATGAGCTAAGTGGACTGCACGAGTATCTCTTATTGTCGATTCGATCTGAATTTGACGTGCATTGTCTTTTTTTATTGCGTGCCAAACTTATTTTTTTTTTAATTTTATTTATTTTTTTTTGGCGATTACGAAATTTAAATTATATACGCAGACGCCATTTTTTGACTGATTTGAATGATACCGTAACGGTATCCTCACAGATTCACCTGTAAATAAGCATTAATGTGCAACTTTCCATTCATTTTAAATGTGTATTAACTGAGTCAAGCTTTGTAGTTAGGCATTTATAAACGAGTGACTCTAGTGAGATAACGAATAAAGCGTATAATTGAGAAAGCTATTTTAATGTTACAATATGATGACAGCCTTAAATTCCCTCCCCTTGGCTAGTTTTTGCACCTTGCTGTTGGTGGGCGGGCTTAATTTCATGCTAGTGGACTGTTGGAGACGGTGGGTTTATGGTCGGCGTTGCTGGCTCATGCCGCGATAGAATGGCGTCATGGGCAGGCAATGGGGATTACTGAGCTTCCCCTCTCTGATAAACCACTGCATGAGAGAACCAAAGATCTAGTCTAGCAGTGATAGTATCACACTTGTTACTCCTTTAATTGAGAGCCGCGTCGTAGTACGCTTACATATAGGCACTGACGTTGGGTGTGATACTGGCGGGTTTTGCCGCAAATCACTCTGATTTTATTTATTTTTACGCAGATAGATTCATTTGGGTTTGCAAGAGAATTATACTATTGGAATATTTCAGAAAGTGCCCAACAGTGCTCCTTCTATTTGCGTGACAAGCTTTCATTGTTGTTTTCATTGAATTATTACTCAGGAAACAATGTTAAACATCATTTTTGTACATGGTATTGTAACTAATCTTATATGTGCTTCATTTTGATTTGGGATAAGTGTTTGAACTATATCTCGGGATTTCCACTGTGGTGTGCTTCTATTGTGACATACCCATATGTATTTTTGTGGTGCCACATAGTGGAAGCGTGAGAGCGTAGTTGGAACATTTACCCTATACAATATACAATTTAAAATTAGCTTGGAAACTAACTTCAAAGTGAAGCATTTGAGTCACTTGAAGGTGTCATCTGGGACGAACAAAGATATAATTAATATATGTAAAAGCCAGAAGTACTTGAAACACGTTAAATTGTAGTTTAAAAGCATGGGTTATGATTGTGTAGGTAGATTAGAGATTTCAGTTATTTATTAAATAAACTTCAATTATAGAATTCAGAAAGTTAATTAACATAAGAGATAGGACGCGGGGGGTCCGCTTAGGGAGGCGACTAGCCTATGAAGTTGTATAATATATCTTCATATTAAGTGTATTTGTTAATTACAGACAATGTCAATAGCGAAAGTCATATCTTCAACCAGGCGCTTACGAACAAGTGAAGTTTTAGGAAAGATGTGTTAAATATGTTGATAGGTTTGAAATAAGAATTAGGATTGTTGTGCTTTAGTTTTCGGTAAGGTATGATGTGTCAACAAAGCCCGTTTGAGCAAATTTTCAAACATCAAATTGATTGAGTGATTTATTGAAAGACATTGCGTTGCGAAAATTGACAAGTCATACATCTAACATAGTAGTAGTAGCAGTGTCGCATAATCATATCACAATTGCTGCAAATAGTGCTGGAGGGGCCGGCAGGGCTGAATACGGATCAATACTAACATAACTACTAACACTAAAATGATCACGGAACTAACACTTATCCATTGCACTTTTATTAGTTTTATTTTTCTACTAAGTCATCTATGCTTCTTTCTATTGTTTAGATCAAGTACAACTAATACTAATCTACCTTTATGTATGTTTTACTCCCTTTTAACCCATTATCTTTATGAATGGCGAATCATATGACGTGAGACACGTACAAGCTGGAACTCAAAGAATTACTTCGAACAGGATGTCAAACAAATTCAGTACCAATCCAAATGAGACCAGAAACCAACAAGGCATCGGGGAGTTATATATTCTGGGAGAGGTATTTGATAAATAATCAAAAAGTGGTAAGTTAAAATCAGAGCCAAGGATCATGAGAGGTAATTGTCAATAATTCATTAATTAGTAGAAATCTCGATAACTTTTTCAAGGGAGCGTATCGGATTTTGTAGGCGGTGCGTTTGGTCGTCGATTTGGCTTAACTGGTGGCTCGCCCACGCGGGCTGGCACTATCATCAGATAGGGGAAATTTTCCTCTACCTGCTGGTGGTGTTGATAAGCGTGTGCGAGCTGCCGGTTGCGCCGGATCGACGATCGGATGCATTGTTTGCAGGAGCTGGTGCTTCCCTTTGAAAAAGTAATCGAGAAATAACCATATTATCCTGTAATTGATATTACTATTTTTATATATCAATGAAATTAGTCATGACAGAGTAACAGATGGGGAAGGACAATAGACACAAGTTGACACAATAAACAAGACAAGTGGGGGTTAATACACAAGACAAAATGACAAAATAAGTGACGACAGAAGACAAGACTGGGACAAAATCAACCTTAAAAAAAAAAAAGAATGCGCAATTATATTATCAAAACTATTTGGATCAGCACAAAAACAACAGTGACCAAACGGGCACCATAGCCGTCTGTGTGTTGATTTAAAATAGAGGCTCATAGAAGCAAAATTTATCAATAAAAGGGGTCCAGTGTAGAGTTTAAGCAAGTGCTGCCACTGGATCATTACAAAAAAAAAATATGATGACAGCCTTAAATTATATGGTATTTCTGGTGCTGTCATGGGTTTTCTCCTGTTCCACGTGTGAATTATCTAAAAATCAGATTCGTTGAATGTTTTCCAGAATATTTGGTCGCCCTAATACTCAATAACCTGTTGCAATAACGACTTCTGCGGGGATTTGTGCATCCGTCAAACCGGCTAACATGCAAGTAATACGCCAACAAAGCATGAAGTATGGTTTTAAATACATGCCCCTTTATTTTATTGCTGCACCAACATTTTGCCTGTCCATAATCTGCCTAATGTTCTTTTATATGCTATCACATTCAACTTTTCTACTCACGCACCGTTGGCATATTGGGCTGACGCGTCAACCCCACTGTGCTGATCCAAATGGCTATCACCATCCGAAACTGCTGCTTCTCGCTTCTCCTGGGCGTCTCGGGACGCTGTTTGACCCGCCACCTTCCTCTTCTGATGATCACTCGCGAAGGTCACTTCATGCGGCGTACCAATCGCCGGGATGTTGTCAAAGATCTGCTTGCGCGAGGACGCCCGCTCCAGATGGTACCGTTTCCAGCTGCAACTGCACGCCACCGCTCGCCATTCAAGAACCCGATTCGGTGCGGGTATGCGTTAACCGTGCGTGTCTCCTTGGCTGTGAATTAAATGAAAAAAAAGAGCCCTACGGACGAATACCGTTAGTCCGAGTAATGCAGAACAGCACGATGGAGTCTTACTTCCTGAAAAGGCTCTTTTGTCTCGTGTAATGGGTTTCTTGACGGCTTGTGGCTTGTTCGATGTTGTCCGTGCGGCGGATTGCGGATGCGGATAGTTCTTCGCTGGACGTGGGATCGATTGATTACAAAGTGCTCGTGGGATTTTGGCAGACCTGTGATCGAAATGCGAGCTTCACTTCGTGATCTTACCTGGTGTTGTAAGATGGCCGGTACCAGAATGTCACGTGCGTGACAGGAAAATTCAGGGTCTTCTCGTCACCCGTCGCGTATCTTGGACTTTTTCTCACTCGCACTGCGACACGTCGTGTGATTATGTTTTCACGGTGTAGCTCACCGCTGCCACCAGACCTCACCATCTTCCTTGATTGCCGACCGGCTGCTGCCACTTACTCCGCACCAATCGTTCGACGACCTTTCGTTGCTTTCGTTCTGCTTGTTAGTGTATGTGCGGCGGAAATCCCAACGCCTGTCAAACTGCAAGCGAATCTTTGTTCCTTGTTGATGTTTCAAGTGAGATGCTCCTGCAGCACGACGTTTCGGTGATGCACGCTCGATGAAAATACATCATTTTAATTCCTTGTGTCGGGCTTACGCACTGAACTTATTTTCTTCATTCCTCTTAAAATACTAACGTAACCCAACCTTACCACAGGCGCAGAGTTTTTTGTGAGCGATGATGAAGAAGCTCACAAAAAACTCTTAACTCACTTCCAAAAGAAGTCGCATAGAGACTTGACAGATCTTACTTATTATCGGCTTAAGAAAACCTTAAGATGTATGTAGATAACTGCAACATAACTAAAACCCGTAAGCCTTTTCGCTCACCGGATCCAAATTCCACAACTAAATCAAAACAAACATAACGGCAGCGAGTCCTGCCAGAGGGTGATCTGAACGCCCAATATTGGGCAGAATGTCTCTATGCTAAGTTATTCTCCAATCTTCTGTGCCTAGCCTACCTGTGGCTCGATATTCAATGAGTTTTAGGAGCTAAAATAAAACTAGAGATCTAACATCAAACAAATATTTGTAATAACATGTTAGCTAACATATCAAACGGATTAAGTGGGTAGATCAATTGCTGTTTGAGAAAAGGAAGCATTTCCGCGACCTAAGCTACTATGAGCCCAGAAAAGAGGATAAAACCGCGCCTCCTGTTCGCGTTACTTTAGAAAATCATAGTAACCCTCACGCAAACGACGTCCACTTCGTTCAAGACCTGTGCCTGGAATTTATCAGTCAATGCCGTTAGTTGAGAATGATCGGAATCACCTCCCCGTGTGGAACGCCCTGTGGCTCTGTGGCCCTTCCTGAGCCGACTAGACTCACCACGAGGTGGCGTCGGGTAGAGTTTGTTGGTGGTTGCGACCGAGTTCGACAGCTTTCACTGGTGTTTGGTCCTTGGTGTCGCAAGATATGGCGAGGTTTCGGTACATGGTGTTGGTCCTCAGCCTTTTCCGTGGAACGTATTTCGGTGGCAGTGATGCTCGTTGTCAACAGCTCCTTGCTTGCTGTTTTCATAGCTGGAGTGGTCATCCGATCGGGAACCGGATGCTTCAGCGGCGCTGCTGAAGCCGTGTTTTTTGCGAGGTCTGTTGATTTGTTGATTTTTTTCCAGTTTGTCCCGCACTGGTAACGGCATGCTAGCCTCGCGCATAGCATGGTTGGTTTTCTCTGGTGCCCAACAAAACGAACCATTTTGGATTCTGATTTTAGAAATTTGTTTTGTAGTTTGTGGCAAATTTCTTTGAATACGTAACACTTTGTGGAGCCTACCATTTTATTAAGTTGGTTAATTATAAGACCTATTAGGATCATGGATCCTGCTTGCCTGACGGAAGAGGAAATTGGTTACGAACTGGCCTTGCGCCACGTAACAAATCTCAGTGCG